AGGATTTGAAATGCGGTAAATTTCTTTTTATTGGGTAGATGGTTATATCGAGTTGTTGTTCTTCTTGTCGTGCGAGAGAATTTTTTTTGGGGAGGGGGAGGGGGAGGGGGGGAGGGGGGAGGGGGGAGGAGGGTGTGTAAAGGTAGGTATATATGGAAGTTAGTAAGTCCTTGGGTACGGTATGATACCCGTTTTTGATATTCACTGTCTGTTTTGTTGGTTGGGTATACACGAGAAGGAGCGGATTGGCCTAGTGGTAGGGCCATCCCACTCGTACAGCAAGGACCGCTTGGTTGTCAATTGTCAATTGCGAATTGCTAATTGCGAATTGCGGTACCCACGTGATGGGGAGATCACTGGTTCAATCCCAATCCCAATATTCGGCAGGGGAGTGGAGAGCGTCCGGTTGTGGACGTCGTCCAGCGAAGCGAGGCTGATTTTATACTTATGGTGTGGGTCGGATTTTGGTGGTTTGTCTTTTCACGTTCGGTTCCTCTCTTTTGTCAATTGTGACGATTGTGCGATGGGAAATAAAGAATGGAGAAAAAAAAAGAAAAAAAAAAAGATAAGGGCGAAAGGGTGGCCCTCGCCTCGCTTCGCTTAATCTGCTTTTGCTGCCGTTGCGAGCAACATGTCTTCGTGGCGGTGTGCTACGCTCGTCTCGACGCAATGGGATATCGATATTATTCATCTCAGCCAGTTGCACTTCAAGGGAAATAAAAATAAAAGGTTTTGTGGAAATTTCAATTCGATCCCGGGATCTGAACGCCCCAGACTTTCTTTCCTCGTCAAGATCCCAAAAGAAAATATATTCGTCACACCGCCAGACCAGAGCCGTCGGCAAATCCCAGTCCAGATCCTTTACTTTGTAACTTCCAATGGCTCTTTTCAAAGGCCGGCGCTCCTAGCACTCTCCCCTACCTGTACAGTATCAATTTCAGCACCCTCGTCCCTCTCCCTCTCTCCCCTCTCGGGCCTCTCGGGTCTCACCCTTCCTCTCGCACCAGCAGTGCCCAAACTTGCACCACCACCCTCCCTATCCCTCACACTAGCAGTCGTGCTCACACTCTCGCTCCTCATCCTGTCGCCCGCACTGGCATCGCTCTCCCTCCTCGCCCTCAACGTTCGCTCCAACTCCCTGATTCTCCTCTTTAAGCCCTCGTTCTCCCTCTTCACGCTATCCAGCTCCTGCCTATGGTACGCAGCTTCGTCATACCGTCCTGAAGTCTGTACACTGGTCACACTATCTGCCCGCAGCATCTCGTGGCTCACTCCTCGTCCTTCAGCACCACTCATCACGCTCCCAGTCCCAGCCATCACCGCAGTCACACTGTTCGAACTCGCGTCCCGATGCGGTACTGGCCTCTGCGAATAAAAGCTTGGAAAGTGCTCACCCGCCAGCTGATGGTAGCTGCCCGAGCTGGATCCTAAGCCTAGCGGTGCTGGACTGCCCGCGCGTTGGGAGCCAGTGCTAGAGTTTTGACGCGAAAGAGAGATGGACTGTGGGATTCGGTCGGCGGTGGTGGAGGGTAGGGTGAAGTTAATACTGCGGTTGGAGGTCGTGGATGAGGAGCGGTGGTGTTGGCGGGAGGAGGGGGCAGGGTGGGAAGGGCCACTAAGAAGGTGGTTTGCGTTATAATCTTGGGTGTCTGGTAAGCCGGCTGAGGTTGAGGAGGTGTTGGAGACGACGGAGGCATTCTGGGCGGCGCGGAGGAGGGAGAGCTCGCGGGTGAGACGGTTGACCTATCTCGTGTTTAGTCATACATTCTCATTTGCTCGTGAAGAGAGTGGCTTCGGAACAAAGCGAGAGAGCCTTACCACAGCCTCCTGCTCCTTCTCGAGCTGTAGATGCAAATCTGCCGCGGTCAAAGGTCTTGGATGTCTCAATGGGCCAGGCCCAGCTCCGACGCCCGTGTTGTCTGCAGCTGCTCCCGTTCCTGTGACCACACTCGGCGATGCCAGCGGTGGGGAGGTTGCTTGATGAAGAGCAGCTTGATTTGAAGGCAAGATGTTCGTAGCTTGCGGGACGGGCTGAGGAGAGGTGGAAGCATGAGCGTTCGATTGCGGATGCGAGGTACTTTGAGAAGGGAGCGTCTGTGGAGCCATGGCGAGCTGCTGCGAGTGGGATGTTCTTCGGGACGTCGTCCTGGATGTGAAATGTGGGCACGACGACGAGGTGATGGGTCGAGGGGAGGGCGGCACTGAGTTCAGGTCCGGCGCCATATTGTTTCGGATGCCCGTTGGTGCTGCGTAGTTATGGTGGGTCGGGTTGGGTTGGGTTGGTTGATGCTATTTCCGGTACCTCTCGATGGCAATTGTAAGTGGATGTGGATGTAGATGTGAATGTAGATGCAGAAAGAAAAGAAGAAGAATCTCAGCAAGAAAACGAAAAGAAAAGAGGATAGGTAGCGGTAGGTAGGTTGTAAGTCAGTCAGTAATGAATGAATGGGTGGTTGCGAAGTTTCATTCAACGTTATGTCAGCCTTCCCGTTGTCGACATCCAATAATATCTCCTCAGTCAAGCCAGCAGCCAATCAAACAACCGATTTGTCTAACATCAGTGCAGCCTTGTGTTTTAGTAAGCAAAGACTTCCACTTACTAAGCAAGGACATCCGTATAGGTACCGAACTTACCTAACCTCAGCCTCGTCTGGAGCATGAGCCACTTGAAGCAGGTGAGGCAGGCGCGGCAGGTGTGAGCAGGCAGGTGCGTGATTGTGATTGTGGGTGGTACGTACGGACTATGACGTCGACCTCGACCTCTTTTGGAAAGTTGGTTAAACAGTCAGCCAGCCAGCTTGAAATGCTGGGAGATTCCCTCTTCTCTCTCTCTCTTGTCTTGTAAACAATCAATCAAACCAACCATCGCAATAATCTCACCCCTCGCCCAAATATTGTAAGTACCTGAGTTTTTCAATCATCATTATCCACCCCCCC